CTTTTAATTTGCACTATAAAATATTAAAATAATATTTAAATATAATTTTAAAAATATTAAATTATTATTAAATTATATATAAATACCATTATACAAAAATTATCATGTGATAAGTCCACTGGGTGTAAAAGACTAAAGAACTGAGGTGACAGAAACTCACTTGGAAATTCCCAACTAAAGAGGTAGCATGAACTTTCAACAATATTATTGAACTGGTTGAAGCTCATGAAACACCTTCATAGAAACTGAAGATTAAAACTGGATAGCAAATATGTGTAGAGGAGCATATAACTAACCAGGCTGCTGGGTTCATTAGAGGAAAAGGATACAGAAGTATACCATACTGGGCTATCTGGATTGGTAGTCTGGAATGAGACCGATGGTTCTGAGTTGCGGCTAGTAAGGGATAATGGAGAAGATGCCAGAAAGATGGGTACTGGGGTTCTAGTGAACTTTACAAAAGTAGAAATAGTATAATGTAGTGGTTAAACAGGTAACCTCTATGACTGCAAGTGTTAAGTAACTATAGCATATTGCATAAAACTAGGTCTAGATGTGTAGAACATAAAGGTTCTAGTAAGTTTTCTATTGAGGATAAAGTAGTCCTAAAGAAACCGATAAGCATTAAAAACTTGGATGGGTGGCACCTTGAGATATTCCTGTAATACAAAAAGAATTGCATATACAAAGGGTTTAAATAGGCAAGACCTCTAGTTGGCTTGCAGGTATGGCAACTAGTGTAGAACTTATATAGTAATGTATAAGCAGACTACTTAAATTAGGCACCAAAAGTGCATGTGTGGCTAGTTGTAATCTCCAATGTAAGGTAAGCCCTTGGTGGCATGCCGTGTCCTAATATACTTGAATAAAAATATCGCAACTCCCAAGATAGGGACTTAAAAAAAAAAAAAAAAAAATATATATATATATTATACTAAAATTTATTTATATATTACAAATTATAAAACTATTAAAGAATATAATAGACAATATATATATGTCAGTAATAAAAATTGTAAAGATAAAATAAAAATTATAAAATTAGTAAGAAATAGTATAATGCATTATAGAAATTTAAATAATTTTAATTTATTACAAGATTAGCTATTATTTAAGTAAATTATCAGCTTGTATTACTAATTAAATTTAACAGATCTTATAAAAATATTAATAAATAAAAAATAAAAGATAAGCTTTTTTAATAAAAACCTTAAAAAACACATATTAAAATAATATTTTAAAAGTAAATAATAAATTATGAAAAAACAATTTAGTATATTTAACAATACTAAAAGCAAAAGAATTACAAATAGCTTTAAATTTTAATTATAAAACCTTATTTTATAATAACAAAAGTATAAAGATATATAAAGTGTTAAAAACAAGCTTATTTTATTAGTTATATATGTATTACAAAAATTAAATATAACATTAGTGTATTAGCTAGTTAATAAAAAAAAATAATTATATAATAGTAACTAAGTTTATTAAAAAAAGGTAATGCTAAAAACAAACCAATTTTCAAAAACTAGAAATAAAGATAATAAAAAATCTAAAACCTAGAACATTAAAGTCAAACTTTAAGCTATAACATTTAATATATAAAAAATAAAAACTTTATTTTTTTATTTTTTTTAGTATTAAGATAATCTTTTTAATTCTAATTTTTAATACTTATATTAGGTATATATTTTATATAGACATATTCATAATGAACTATTAGACAAGTATACAACTGATTATATATGTAACTTTTTTATATTATCTATTTAAAAAGTCTACCTAAAGGTTCTTTATCAGTTATTGTATCTAACATCCTTGTTTAGATGTTCTATTTAAACTTTCTAATCTGATCCCTGATATTAATTTCATCAGGTTACAGACTTAGATCTTTTCATTTTTAACCATAGGATTATAATCCTTAAACTATTTTTATCTTTGAAATAAATCTACTAAAGTAAGTTGTATTTTTTTTTTATTGTTAACCTGATTTGATGCTATGACTAAGACCAACACTTGTAATCAAAGTTATTCATTAAACTGCTATTACTCTTATAAAATTCATCCAAACTCTGGTATCCATTTTTCCAAACATCTTCTTATAAGGTTTTATAATTTTCGCCTATGTGATGTATTGCCACTTATAATATGTAATGTTAAATCTAAATCATAATAAAAATAAATTAATTTAAGGTTAGGGTTAGCATTTGACTAACGTTAGACGTTATTTTTTAAAAAAAGCTCTTAGTCTAAAATTTTGCAAGGAATTTTTTTAATTAGAACGTAAGTTGTGGTTTCATATGCAAAATCTTGAGTTACAGACGATTAGTCAAAAAAGACAATGTTTTGCTTCGATTTCACGTTACACCTGAACTTGCATTCTAATTGGTCGATCAGGGGTAGCGATACATTGCTATTGCGATAAATTACACAATATCCATTTTTATATACACTTTTAATTTTTTAAAAAAAATTACTTCATTTTACTACTAGTAATTATTACTAATAATTTACAATATTTAGATTTTTATTTTATATTATACACTGGTAATGATCACCAGTGGTGATAAATAGCAATCTCTTTTTAAATTATCTTGTACTGTTATTATTAAATATAAGCATAATTATTGATAGATCAAAAAAATTAAATATAAAAACTATACTGTATACTGTATATTGTATATTTAATATACAGTCTGTGTTAATAAAAAATATGTACATTCAAACATATATTACTTTTTATTTATCGCACAATTTTACGTAAATATTTTTTATGGCTTAAAAGTTCTTACTATATATGTGCAAACGAGGTCTATTAAAGGTAACAACCAAATGTTTAAGGATTTAATTAAAATAGTTTAATAGTCTTCAATGCCTAAAGCGTAACAGTCTCGAAAAAACGTACCGGTACGTATATGCCGTTCTTAATCATGTGTATAAATATTATTTGACAATTTATTATACTAAACTTTCCATACATGTTTCCATACATGTTTGGTAATAAGTACGTAGAATTCGTTGTTCAATAAACTTTAATCAACAAAAATCATCAGAACAGATATAATCTCTTCTTAGTCACTTTATTGTATATTTAGGGGGCATGCCTCAAGCACAATAATAGGACATGCCTCAGCCCAAATGTTTCCAACTCGAGGTACAATTTTGTACACAAAAATAGTCTTTCGCTACACTCAGAAATATATCGTACTGATCAATCTGCATCGTAAATTTAAAATCAATATTATTTTTCAATTTAAATCTTTTGATCGATAAGGCAGAAAGATGAAAAATGTCGTCATTTTATCGTGATTACCTTAGAAACAATTATAAAACCTGTATAAAACGATGTAATAACTTAATTTTATCAAAATAAAACCTAAAATGTCATCTATCACATTGATGATGTTATTTTCGAAACTGATACGTGGTCACCTGCAAGGGTAGCGCCCGATTTTCTTTATGTAATATATAAAAAAATATAAAAAAATATAGAAAAATCGGGCGTTGCTTTTGCAGGTCATTGTACGTGCTCTAGTGTTACATGTAACTCCTTTCTATTTAAAACTATTTATTGGCTTAGCGATTTAAATGAAACATCCAGTGTTGGTTACAAGTTCATGAATTGGAAATTGGACCTATAAGTTTCAATTGGAATTTATAAATTCAATGTTCCAGTTTATAAACCCAGTCAACCCCAAGTGCCCAACACCGAAGACATCAATCTCAGTTTGAATATCCTATTTATGGCAGGAACATGAAAAAATTTGAATCCAATTTGCCCAAATAAATACAAATTTTCAAATGGAATTTTGTATAAAAATATCGAACGCGAAATTGTCAATCTGGTTTCACAAAGAGAGTACAAGGAGTACGTGACGTGAAAATGATCTTGATTTCAGCCAATGAAATCGAACTTTGCCTCCTGCTGTTAGGGGTTAGTGTTTATATCGGTATTGAATTATAACACTATCTTTGTATTGGTTCTAATTGACTGCGCCACGACCAGTTTAAACCAGTTCGAACCTTGGCTATGGCCACATGATGGATTATCGCAAAAATTTACTGATAATCATTAACGTTTAACGCTAAAACTTTTTTTGATACAAATATGTATTTACGTTTTATGTTACGGTCTTTACCGCAGCAACGAATACCTATAAGAACTATATCACAGGTTGCAGGGAACCCAATAAATAGGTATATTCGTATATTCTTTTACTCAGCTTATGTAGATCATATCTTTGATAATTAAATTTCACGTCAGGTAGAATAGAGCCTGCTAGATCTGTTAGGGGAACACACGATCGTTTTGGTATTGAAAATGAAAAATTTACTCATATACAGAAGATCGGAACATCGATTGCAAAACTATACTGTTTTGAACAGGTATATGATAGAGAAAGCTCGGAATTTTATGATAATTACGTTAAAATAACAGATGAATAATAGATATCCACGCCAATATTGGAATTTTCGCAAGTATTTGAAAGAACCTTAGGTAGTGAGTCAGATATTGTTGGAAAAGAGTTGTACAGTTTTATCGATCATGATGATAAATTGACATTGAGACCTGAGGGAACAGCAGGTGGGTCTAATTTTCCAAAGGTAGAATTTTTAAACCTTCTGAAAAAATATTATTTATTTATAGGTATTGTTAGAGCATTAATTAGCAATAACATGGATCGTGATCTGCCCAAAAGGTTCTATTACCATGGGCCTATGTTTCGGCGTGAACGACCTCAAAAAGGAAGGTTAAGGCAGGTGAACATTTAATGATTTTATTGCAAATTTTTGTGTTATTTTTAAGCAAAAATTCTGTCCAATAATCAACTGATCATACCATTCTTATATACCTACAGTTTGAACAATTTGGCATTGAAATGTTTGGTTATGAAAATCCAACCTCTGATATTGAAATAATTGAAATGGCCTGGGCATTTTTAAATAAAATAGATACTGATACATCATTTGAGGTAATATATTTTCCACTAATTTACAATTTTTATATATGTTAAATAATCCAACGTGATAATATTTCACGTAGCTAGAAATTAATTCATTGGCCGATGTGGAGTCCCGTGCTCATTATCGTGAAGTTGTAAAAGATTACCTGAGCCAGAATGCATCACGTCTTTCCTCGGATAGCGTGAAAAGGTATTTTTTTAGTAGTAAAAAAAGTTAGGCATTCATATTTCCCAATTCAAATTTACAAAATATTGTTTATTATCCAAAAAGAATATCAACGAACCCTTTACGTGTTCTAGATTCAAAAAATCCGGAAGATATACCAATCATTCAAAATTGTCCATCAATCACAGAATTTTATAATACAATATCCGCTGAAAGGTTTAATGCTGTATGTCAAGGACTTCAAAAATTAGAAATACCCTACAAAATTAATCCTCGACTAGTCAGAGGATTGGATTATTATGAAGATACTGTATTCGAATTCAAATGTACTGATTCTAGACTCGGTGCTTCACAAGGAACTGTGCTTGCTGGGGGGAGATATGATAACCTTGTTCAGTTGATGGGTGGAAAAGAAAAAGTTCCAGGAATAGGGTATGATATTTGATTCTTAAATATTTTTTATTTTATGTTTTCTTTTACCAATTTGTTTATATTGTAAACAGATGGGCTGCAGGATTAAACAGACTAGCCGCAATATTACGTGATGATATTGTTGTACGGGAAAGGCCAATTGCGGTTGTCATCATTCAAGATCGAGATAAGGTTATTTTATCTGCAGGAAATTATAGTACAAGTAACAATATGATGTTTTATTGTTATGGCCTTAAAATTTCTAAAGTGTTACGCTCACATAATATTAAAACAATTTTTTTTCACATTCCTAATGCAAATCATTCATCACTGAAAACTATATTGGCAAACGTTGTAAAAACAAATGCTTCACATGCAATATTGGTAGGAGAGAAGGAAATTATGAATGATAAAGTGATATTAAAGGATTTAGATTTAAGGATTCAAAATGAATATAAATTAGAAGATATCGTACAGATGATTTTAGAATCCAAAAAAAAAAATTAAAATAAATAGTTAAACTTTTATGAATCAATTTAAGGTAAATTCAATTCTTTAATAATCATTCATGTTAAATATGATGCATCCAACTATAAAATCTAAAGACAAATTAGCATCATTATGTTTGAAAAAAACACTACAATAAAATCAATAGAATTTCATATCTACATACTTCGATTCAATTCAATAAACTATTAAACTTTTAAATTCGTATTAAAAAAAAAAGTTTTATTCAGATCAAAACAATGCATAAACCTCCAAAGGAAACATACAGTACAAAGAGAAAAAGAAACTAAAAATAAAAAAAAAGCATAACCGCATTGCCATAATAAACAGAAGATAACTCTGTTTGAAAGTCGCAATCCCCAGAAATTATTAAAAGGGAAGACCTAGTGTATTTGAATATTAACTATTTGAGTTGTGTATATAAGAATTATCAATCTAGTTTATCTAATTATTGAAAAGGAATCAGCATATATGCACGAAGTTTGTAAGAAACTAATAATAAACTATTCACATTAGGTCATGGGTAAGGGATCATCAACGGATCATAATTATCTTATGATTGCAAAAGTCTTGAAAGCTTTTTTTTATGAAAACAGCTTAAGAAAGATATTCATATTTATTCGTCAAATGACGTCAGTAAGAAGTTGTTTTTCCAGAATATATTTCCCCTCTTTATAGCGTTGACTTTGTTCATATGCTCGTTCCTGAAAAATTTCACGTAAAAATTATTATTAAATTTTCTATTTAAAAACATCAAAATATTATGATCAACTGATCAAATTACTTACATATTTCCACCCTAATACGGATCTACAACGAGAACAATAAATATCTTTCACTGTATGAAGACCCGTAGTCATATGACGGTCCTCGGACGGGCCTTCTTCCACATTAACCCTATCAAATAATATTAATATCGTATTTACAATTATGAACAAAAATACAACTAATATTATGATTTTTATGTTAAAAACTAGTTACACTGTGTCGAAAAGGTAAGCACGCCCATGCTGTCCCTGAAAAGCCTGCGATAAGATGCAAATTATATAATTTTTGAAATATGTATGAAAAATCCAAACCTGCCAAATTACTTAAAAAAGTGTAAGACCTTTGAAATAATACTGTCGGTCGTAGAAAGGTGTGTTCGACATTTATTACAACCAAAAATTCGGGTACCATTAAGGTAGGTACGATAAGTAAGGCCCATTGTTGTGTTTTCAAAGCTTTCTTCTAGCTATACTATGTTGTTATACAATAAAGATCTTTAATGTTTGTTTTTTGAAAATATTTACGAGGGGAAAAGTACTCAAAAAACAATTATTTTGTGTTTCTCAAAGAGAAAGAACTCTAAGTTTATCTAATAGCATTTGATGGTGACTAGGAATTCCTTTACTATTTATATGTTTGATTCACTTACGTTGTAGCTGATTGGCTGCCTCGTGTTTCCCAACCTGTCTCGATTGTTTCGATGGTTCAATTGAGATATCACATGATTGATCATTGCTCCACTATTATGTAATAGTCATATTTAAGGTATGATATACAGTTTTGTGACCATGTGTGCCTGTCTATTAAAGCCTAAATCTGAAGATTTGAACAGTTTTTGACTGGTTTTATTATTAATATAATGTCACGAACGCTGTTAAAATTTGAACACTGAATAGAAGCAATCAAAAAAAATGATAATGTTTTCGGGCCAAAAGTGAAAAGGTTGTTTAACAATTTCCGTCACATTTTCGTTCAAAAACTGGAGAATTGCTTTTATTCAGGGGTTGCTTCTATTCGGTAACATACGGTAATGATAATGCATTATACATAGTGCGTACAGTTCGGTTCTAACGAATAAAATTTTTATAATGATGGTTAAATTTTCGTACCTACATAGTAGCGGTAGTTGTAGATAAATTTAAAATTTTAATAATTTAATATATAAAATTATTAAATTTAGATTTTGAATTTTATATAGTCTTTAGGTTAATTAAAATTTTGTTGTTAAATTGTTTATTTTATAATAATAATAAAATTAATTTATAAGTAGTTTTTTTTTTTTTTTGGTGTTAAGGTTTTAAAAGTAGTTTTTAAAATTGATGTAATTAAAGCTATTATATAAACCAAATTTTATAATTGTCGTAATTTTATAATTTGTATATACATACAGTATATATATTATAATTATGGGAAATTTTTTTACGTACAAGTCACTCAATAAATTATAATGTTATATACGTATACCTAAAATTAATAGTATATATTAGTATATTTGGGTTACTTTTAATCCGATGAAAATAGAATTTTTCTATAATTATAGAAAGAAAATTACTATGTAATTAAACCCGGGTATATACGTAGTAATAAATTGATTTGCAAATCTGCATAGTACATAATTTATAAAAATAGATTTAAAATTATAAGGTTGTAGTTTATACTAAAATTTTGAAATAGTAATATACTTGTATACAAATATTCTGTATACAAATAAAAAAATATTTTTTAAAAAGTAAAACCTGGTTTTAGTTTTTAATTTTGTTGTAATAATTATAATTTAATATCAAAATATTTTTCAAAATTTTTATTTTTCAAAATAACAAATAAAAATACAAGAAAAATTTAAAAAACAGTTTATCAAGTAATTTCTTATTTTTTAAAGAAATAAAATTAGTAAAGGCATGGTAACATAGTAAAGTTATTATGTTGTTACCTCTCAAATGCAGGTCTAAAGTTCAATTTCTAATATTAATAAAATTTGAAATTTTTTTTGTATTACAGTTAACTGTTTTCTGTTATTAGTTAGAATAAGATACCTGTTACCTGTGCATATCGACCAATTTGTGAAATTTAATAAATAGGAAAACCAATTTGTCATAGCTCTGATCAAATTTGCAGATCATTTCACTAGATTTAAAGTCAAACAAATTCAAACTTGGTCAAATAATCTGCAAATTTGACTAAAGCTATGACAAATTGGTTTCTCTATTTATCAAATTTTACAAATTGGCTGATATAATTATAATAGCTAACTGAAAAGTTATATAGCATTTATACAACATATTGTTATATGAAGAAACACAAACTAGTATTAAGTAGTATAAACTTATAATAAGATTATATAAATTACAGAAACTAAAAAGATAAAAGTTTACTTGAAAGACCTAAGTAAAAAGGTAGTTTAAACTTTTAATAATGTTATTGTAAAGACTAAACCTAAAAAACAGAATTAAAATTTGTGAAGTTATATAATATATTAGTTTTTGTAAATAGATTATTGCAACTAATTAAATTGTTAAAATCTTTTGAAAAAAAAGATTATATATTAGAAAACATGTAAACTAAAGATATAGTTATACTTATCTTTTTATATTATATAATGATTATTTAATTTTTTATTAGCAAAATTTTCTATATAGTATAATATAAATAATATATAAATACAATTAATTTGTTATTATTAAACAACTCTTTCTGCTGATCCTTATTTTCTATAACAAACAAAAAACAAAAATTTTTATAGCAAAACCATGTCACAAAAGTCATCACCAAATACTAAAAAAAGAGAAAAGACAAGAGTACTACTAATAGCAGCATTTTAAACAAGTAAGCATTAAAGAAAACAAATAAAAGCATATAGTACAAAAAGGAAACAACCAAATTTTGCTTTTGTAAAAACAAAAAGTAGGCATATTACAAAGACCTAGTATTGCTGATTACTAAAACAAAACAACAACAACATGTGTATATGAAAATATTAACAGAATAAACAAAACACTAAAAAGGCAATAGGTAATAGTCCATAATAATAGTATAACAATATAAACAAATTTTATGTAAGTTACAGAAGTAATATTAAATAATCAAATTATTATGAACTATCTAAAAAAGTACAAAGATCTATTTAAATGACAGAAGAAAGAAATTATAGAAACCCTAAGTGAATTAAACATTTTACACTAAAACAAAATATAGAAATCACAAAGCACTTAGGCATAACAAAACCAGAAACAGTATATATTGTCAAGTAGACAATAGAAATATACAACTGAGAAGAGTACTAAGAAGCAATTAGAAAAAGAAAGTAAACAAAATCAGCATTCTAAAGAAGTATTTAGCAGAAAGCTTGCACTAACTCTATTAGAAACAGAAACAACTAATTATAGAAATAAGAAACTAGAACAACAAATTTTGAGCTTTATTAACAACCTAGAAGATGGAAACTTGAGTAGTATAAAGAAGAAAGAAGAATACATAAATAAGAAAAAGAGTAAAGAAGAAAAAGAAGATAAAATTAATAATAAAAAGAATATCTAAAAAGATATAGATAAAGAAATAAAAATTGAAGAGACAGAGAAGATAGAAGAGAAGAAAACCATAAAGATTAGAAGTATAAAAGAAATGAAGTCTCAAAAACCTATAGAAGAAAAAGTGCAATGTACAATTTGGGATCTTCTATATAATACCACTGCAAAGCAAATATCAGAATTGGTAAAAAAATAAGAAAATCTGATGAAATATGTATATGATATAGCATGAATAAAAAAACCAAGCAGAAATAGAATAGTGTACAACAGATCAAGAGCTAAAAGATAAAATAAGAAGAATTTGGGTACTATCATTAAGAAGTAGCCACTTAGCTAGAATAATAGTAGGAAGAAGTGATAGTTCAGAATTGGAAAAAAGAAGAAAAATTCATGCTAAAAATAAAAAGCTGTCTAGCTTTACAAAAGAAACACTTTTGCTAAGACAGTTGAGAAACATCAATGCAAAAGCAATATATATCTTTTTAAATAAGAATGAAAACCAAAGAAGCCAGTCTGTAGTTGAATTTGAAAATAAAAAAAATAAAAAAAGAGTGATAGGTAGAAGAATAAAGTACTTTAACCATAGTTTAAAATAGGAAACAGAAAGTAGTTATAGAAATAAAGAAAGCTTAGATACTAGAAATGAAATATTTAACAGAAATTCCAGAAGAAGAATCTAAGAACAAATGCAGCAAACAACAAGAAAGGAAAACAGTAAAAAAAGTTGGAGCACTTCAGGTTCTAAGAATAAAGAGAAGAGGAGAGATATGGAAAATAGAAGAAAAAAAAAGCAAGATAGAAAAGATGAAGAAAATAAAGAAGCAATCAAAAAAATTCTTTAAAAATTAGTAGAAAAAGTTAAAAAAAAGTTATGTAAGGAGTTGTCAAGAAATACAAAGAGTGAAACAAGTACTTCTAATTGCTCCTGAGACAGTTGTCACAGTTGTCTATAGGAACATATCTACAGAGAAAAGGTTCAGCTCAATAGAAATAAAGTTAAATAAGAAAGAGTCAACAAGAATAGGAATGGTCACTAAAGAAAAAGAACATTATAAAACAATAAAATTGGAAGTTCATAATATAAATAACATCAAAAAAAATAGCTACAAGCTTCAAGAGTTACTAGATTACTGTAAAGATTAAAAACTCAATGTAGTAAGGATAACAGAAACCAACATAAAGGAAAAAGAAGCAAAATTTATAGAGATACAAAAAGAAGACTATAGGGATTACTGATCAAGTACAGAACAAGATAAGCATAAAGGCTTAGAAATAGATGTACTAGTAGACAGTAAGTAGAGCAAACATATTATAAAGATAGAAAGACTGAATGCATATTTGATTAAAATAGTATTTATATTCAAAAAAGCAGCAATCATATGCTGGATTATGTACTTGTCATCAAATAATAGAAAGTTATAAAAAGATATACAAAGAGTTATAACACAAGATATATGTATAGCCAAAAGGAACTTACATTATGTTATAATGAAGACTTCAACAGAATACTAGATGCAATGCTAGACATAACAAATAGCACAAATAAAAATATAAAAAGCTTCTACTAATAGAATGGTTAAGAAGTATTGGTTCACAGAAACATTT